AATTTGCGGCAAATCTTTAAGGTAGTATTTTAAATTATCATAAAAAGGTGAAGAAATGTTGCCTAATACCTGAACTGAACAGTCAGACCTCAGTGAGAATCCTGCTGCTCTAGGTGAGCTGTATCTTTGTTCAGCCAAACCAATGGGTCAAGTAATCATAAATTTTAAATAAACGTTAAATTTTAAATTAATTAAATTTTAAATAATGACGTTTTCATGCTTATTGTGAACTGGGGAAAAAGAACAATTTCTGTACTGGTCCCAGCAGCACTTCTGTGGTGCTTGCTCAAGGAATGGCTGTCTTAGTCTACCAACCTTCTTCCTCTTTCTCTATGTTCTTTTAATCTCAGTCATGGTTCCTGTTTTTAATAAGACTCGTTGTTTCTTAACTTCTACAACTTCCATATAGCACATATATTTCTCCTAAAATGTATTTTGCATCTATAATTAGCATTGTTGGCAAATGGTTGGTTTGTTTGTAGAAGTTTATTACTTTACAAGAAGCTGATGGAGATTAGAAGGAGTTTCCATAAAAACGAGGCCACAGCCTTTGCTCTTCCCAGTCCATCTTTTCAACAAAGCTATTATTATTACTAGACATTGTTCATTATCTGCTTGTGGTTGACATGGTTTTTAAGGCTGGCCACATTCTGGTCTCGTTGTTATTAGCAGAGCTTGGTTAGCTTCCTCTTTATGTACTAATATTTCAAGAGTGAAAAGAGCTGATCTGCTTAGGCCTGGCTTTTCTGTCATTGAGCAAACTGCAGTGAATTTCTGTCTGCAGTCAAGAAGTGGCACAATTCCTGTTGATATAGCAGAAAACAGGTAAACTTTATTACCACTCTATCTTAATTTCTCTTCTGTGACAGAGGAAAAAAAAGCATGAAGTTTTGGTTAACCTTTGTCTTGCATATAGAGGCAGAATTTGTCTTTTAGTATGTGCAATATCAGATAAAAAGGGAGATAAAAAATCTCCATTCCGTCAAGATTCACAGACAGGCAGAGGCATGAAAGTAAAGAACTGGCATTAGCTCAGCCAGGTACGAGATACCACAAATCCCATATGGGAGAGTACATAAGGAACCAAGGTTTCTCATTTCTGTTGTTGGCGAATTGCTTGTTGAATCCCATCTCTCCTTGCTGCTGCTGTTAGCTCTTTTTCTACATTCGCCTATTTTTAATGCAGGTTTTCATTTTTCAGGAAGAAAACGTGAAAATTGTTCTCATGAATCCCAATATTGCTTCAGTGCAGACCAATGAGACTGGCTTAAAGCAGGCTGATGCTGTCTACTTCCTCCCCATCACTCCACAGTTTGTCACCGAGGTCATCAAGGCGGAGCGTCCCGATGGATTAATTCTGGGCATGGGTGGCCAAACTGCTCTCAACTGTGGTGAGTATGATACAGGTACCTTGGCAATCCTTGCAGGTTTTTACTGTGTGTTCAACAGACATGCAAAACCCACGTGCCTGATACACTGCCCAGGTTACTAAGGGATGCAGGCAGAGATACTGACCATAGGAGAGTGGGTAATAGCTGAACTGTGAACATCAGCTTCATTTAGCTTCTTGCAACAGTATCCAACTGCACTGCTTTGTTTCATGTTGCAGATGATGGACAAGAAATAACTTTAGTAATAGTCCAGGTTTTATAGATTTAAGGTCAGAAACTTTCATGTTGTGGTTCCCAGGTGATGGAGGACAGAACAAGGGGAAACGGCACCAAGCTGTGCCAAGGGAGGTTCAGGTTAGAGATAAGGAGGAAGTTCTTTACTGAGAGGGTCGTCAGAAGCTGGAACAGGCTGCCCAGGGAGGTGGTGGAGTCACCATCCCTGGATGTGTTTAAAGAGCGGGTAGACGAGGTACTTAAGGATATGGTTTAGGGGGTAGACAGGAACGGCTGGACGTGATGATCTCAGAGGGCTTTTCCAACCGAGCGATTCTGTGATTCTGTGATTCTAATACTGACAAAGAATAATAAAATTTGCTGTTGATGAGGCCAGACCAGACGGCAGCCAGTCAGATATCTCCGAATACTTTCTTCTTCATCTACCGTGGCTTTTTTTGCTCTGCAGGGGTGGAACTCTTCAAGCAAGGAGTCCTGCAGGAGTATGGTGTGAAGGTCCTGGGTACCTCAGTTGAATCCATCATGGCTACTGAGGATAGAAAGCTGTTTTCCGATAAACTGACTGAGTTAAACGAAAAGATTGCTCCTAGCTTTGCAGTGGAATCGGTAAATCAGATAATTTTGAAGATTCAATTACTGTTGCTGTTGTCCGTTTAAGTTATTTTTAAAAGTTTTTTAGTTTTGTTGAGTGAAATCTGAATGCACCTGTGGATACTGTAGCTTGTATGCTCTCATCAGCACTCCACAGTGGTTGGTGCTGGTTCACCATGACTTAAAATGAGTGAAAATGCAATTAAGCACTTGGAAAGCCTAAGCTAATTTACCTATTGACAAGAAAAATAAATTAGGTTGGATTGGCTTCTGTGCCAGAGCACAAAAATAGATAACATTTCAGTGGCCAGGTTTTTTGTGGGGTTTGTTTTTCTTTTTTTGTTTTTCTTTTGTATCCTACATCAACCATTACACTTAGGATTTCAGGTCCTCCAAGTCAGCAGTACTGAAATTGTGCTTGAGGATGGGAGTGTGAAAACAAAAAATTAGTTCAGTGGGAAGGCCTGGTTGAGTTTGGAGGAAAACAAATAAGTCTTAAACTAGGTTGTCAGGTGGAAGGGCTATTTCATGCGTCTGATTTTCTTAGGTATTCTTTCTTATATTCTAATAGTCACAGTCCATCTGTGAAGACAGACCTGGTGAGGACACTGTCCATGCAAAGTCAGCAAGAACGTCCGCACGTAACTAAGGACAGAAGTCACTTCCTTGAGCCCATGTTCCAGATTGTAACAAAGCAGTGTTACAAAGCCAACTTTTAATATTTTCATTTTACCTTCAGGCAACTTAGCGTTCTGTTGATGGGATTTCCAGTTAACCCTGTAACCAGAGTTGAAGACTTTATTCATCTTAACTGTTCTTGAATCTCTGAAATGTATTTCCCTCTCCTTTAAGATTGAAGATGCTCTGAAGGCAGCTGAAGAGATTAGCTACCCAGTCATGATACGCTCTGCTTATGCTCTTGGTGGTCTGGGCTCAGGCATATGTGCTGATAAGGAAAGTTTGCTGGACCTTGGTACGAAGGTAGGTCTGCGATTTCAAGCTCTGGGAATAGTGTGGACATCTAATTTTCTTAGCTGTTCTTGTAATAGTCAGACACTGGGATTGAATGTACCCCAACTTTTATCTTATCTGTAAAATGTTATCCTGATTCATTCTAATGCCCTCTTTTCATAATTCCT